CTTCAGAGTGTAGTTGGCAAACATCTTCTGTGAATGGCCAGAGGGTATACTTCTGGTTAGTGGATCATCCAGTCTTGGCTGCAGATACTTAGCTCTGGTGTTACAGCATGAGAACAGCTGCCATCAACAGTGCGTGAATAAGCAGGATGGAGCAAGCAGCAAGCCAGATTTGACCTACAGGCCATAGTTTGCCAACCTTTGCTCTAGAGCAGTGATGGGGACCTTTCAGAGCTTTCAGTGATACAACAGCCTGTGGCAGCTTGGGTGCAGCGCGTTCACCACTACTGCTCTAAAACATTCAACAAAATTAAGATAAATATTTTCTTTCTAACCTAGAAGAGCTTATGTAAGTGTATTATTATTCCAAAACAATCCCCTCTGGAGGCTGTCTTATTCATACAAGTTATGTAGGCAGTAAGAAATGAAGCTATACTCCTAACAGATGTGGCAGCCACTAAGAAATCAAGACTGTTTCCATGGGCTTGGAGAGGCCACACGGCATTAAGGTCCATGGAGATTCCTTTGAATTTACAGACTGTTTAAGTTTAAAGGCTTTGTACAAAAGTAACAAAACACAAGGAGGAAGGGTACAGGCTTACTGTTGGGGAATGTGTTTCTCCATATGGGATTGTGCACCTGTGTTTTGAAGCTTACTTTTCTTTTTCTGCTAAGGGAAGGATTGTTTTCCAAAATGAATCAGATACTGATAATATGTAACACCTCTTTTCTCATCATGAGTGTATGAAGTCACTGCCTTGCATATCAATTTCTTATCATTGTAGTCAGAATTTCTGAAACATGCTGCTTGAAATGTTTGTCACTTCATCCCTTCCTGTGGCCTCTCCCTGAGTGCACAGAAGGCTCAGAACTTCCATCTGAGGAAGTCCTCTGTCATACACTCCAGGAATGTGCCATTAAAAGAAAAACAACTTTTCTTTACTTGACATCTTTCTCAATAGTCCTTTTCCATTTTAGAATCATTATAACTTGCTGAAAAATATCTTTTATTTTGAGCTGAAATGAGCCTCCTTGCATTGCTGACTTGCAGTCCACCTCTTCCTACACGTTTCCCTTCACTCCAGCTCTTTCATCTCTGTCTCCCAAGTTTTTTCTGCAGTAATTGCCAGATCACAGATCTCCCTCAGTCTGTCAGTACCCTTGGAGAGACTGTCAGGCCAGCTGTGACTGCAGGGACTTGCCACAGCAGGGCATTGTGTCCTATGTCATAGTTCTGCAATGGCATGATGCAGAACATGGCCCTGCCTATGTAGTGTGTATGTCTGTACTCAGGGAAGCAGACCATGACATACACACACCCTGCCCTGGCCTTGTGTGGGGGTCATTAGGGGGGACACTTTCTGTGATAGTGGACAAAATGATATGCATGTATTGAGAAAGGGCAGAGGGAAGAGAGTATAGAAGAATGGTGGAGCTGAAGACATGGAGAACTGACAGCAGAGGGACAGAATGGCCAAGGGACAGGGAGGTGACAGGTTGCAGGGCATTCCCATTTTCCCTAAAGACAGCCAGGAAAGGAACAGGACAGATCTGCATTTGCCCAAATTAGAATTTCATAGGAATTTTATCCCATTAACCTGGGCCTTCTAGTGGGATTTACCACATAACTTATTAATTTTGTCTGTTCAGTGTATCAATAAAAATGTGAAAATTGGTACTCTACATGACAGAGAGTACCCAGGTTGACATTCTTTCCATTGATCACCCCTACAGTAATACCTCGGTTCACCAATGTGTCTGTTGGCAGACTGCATCATGTGACAAATACGACCATGGCCATCTTCACACTAACACACAGATGCAGCCATTTTCTCCAAAATTGTAAAACGAATTGTTGTAAACTGAGGTACCACTGTATGTTAAAAGGCTACCATCCACCCAAACCACACATTCTGAAGAATATGATGACTAGCACGGTTCTACCAGACACCTTGCGGATTCACTAGCCCAATGATGAATCTGAGAAGGTGCACTTGGCCAGTCTAAGATTTCACCCTAGGGCATCATGGCTATGTCGTAGCCATCACTGTTTTCTTTTATGTACTCAGAAGTCATCCATTTAACAGTATCTCCCAGAATGCTGTTGCATAGCAGCAGTCTTTAAAGTTCATTCCTGTTCCTGCTATAACTGTCTCCACACAGTCCTTCCTCTTAGGTTCTCTGAACCTGGGTATAGCTGGTATAGGCTAAGAGAGAGAGATTCACTATTCCCTGGCCTGAACTGCACTTGTCCTGCTCCTTCCTACTTTCTTTGATAGTCAAAGCAGACAGAAGAGGAGCCACTCCAGCTCCTGTAGCATGCTTCATCGGGGTTTTGGCCATAGGTGCACATGAAGACACTCTCAGAGCACTTTCCTCGGCTGACCCACTCACAGGCAGAATGTTCTGCAGTGCTGTGGCCTTCTTTTGTATGTTCTTTAAATACGGAAGCTACCCTGCCCTGTCCCACCAGCATCTCTCTCCCGTTATTAGGACACAGAACAGCATCCTGAAATGCCACTGATGACTTGGATTTCCTAGGACAGTGGTGGCAAACCTGTGGCATGTGTGCTGCAGCGGGCTGTTTGTATCATTGAAAGCTCTAAAAGGTTCGCTGTCACTGTCCTAGGGTGTCTGGCAAGGGTCTAGCAAACAGTACACTGTGGATGGAGTACAAGGGGTAATCGAAAGATGCAGTGAATGTTTAAATTTTTTCAAAGCTTATTGCAATAAAAGACACATTTCTAAGGATGGTGGGGTGTGTCCAAAGTGAGGGAGCTTTTGAGGAGTGAATGGCAGTCTCTTACTGTAATAAAAGTTTTTATTTAAATAGCCACATTATTTGATCACCTCTTGTTAAGCGAACATTGTAATTCTGTCAAAAACATGGTGTGTCTTCATCCATCTTATTCACCAGATCTAGTACTGGGCAAATAGCCCTTCAAAATCAAAATCATCATGAATGTTAAACAGTTTGAATCTATACAGGACATCAAGGCAACCATGACAAAACAACTAAAAGACACGCATGAAGAGGATTTCCAGAACTGCTCCAGTAAGTTTCAAGAATATTGGGATAAGTGTGTTCAAAGCCAGAGGAAGTACTTGGAAGGGAGTTAATGAAAATACGTCTTTTACTCTAGAAATTTAAAAAATGTTAAATATCCATCATAGTTTTTTCTTTTTAATCACAACTCAGGAGAGAATGTAATGTTTGTTATCATTTCATTTTAGAAATCTAAAGGATTTATTAGCAGCCCTAATTTTGTATTCATTGCACTCAGCTCCTTAAAATTGAGAGCACAGATGGCAGATGTTTCAAACTTACTTAGCCACTGTGGCATGTAAAATATTTTTGTATGGAAAAAATATGAAGGGTAAAAATTATATGACTCTTACCCAATGAACAACTTTACCAACCCAGTCCTAGGAGATATTTCTATTTACCGAAAAGATCTAGTACATTCTTAATAAGTGCTTTTTAATCAGTTTACAGCCTTAACATCACACTAGAACACGGTTGCAGGGACTAAGGAATACCCACTTTGTCTGTTCCAGGAAGCTTAGCTTCCTGCTGGAAACTCCGCAGCTTCAAAGTATTGACCATATGTAAAGGACTTGTTTTGTTTTGTTCTTTTGCCTGATTGTTTTAAAAGAAGTTCTTCTTTTTACTGCAGGAAGGGAAATCAGTGTTTGAAGCTTCTGAGTAAGTGCTCCTTTCATGCAGCCAGTATTCAGGAAGGGCCCTGATGGAGGAGGCAGGACTGGACACTGAACAGAGGGGCCCTCCTGTGCCTGAAAGGTGAGAGCCTAATGAGACACACACTTCTTAGGTGACATCTCCAACTCTACAGGCCATTTGTGCCAAAATGATAATTTTAAAGTGTTGACTATCATACTGTAGCAGTTGGTGACAAATGATGTGAGTAGTGTCAGATGTCCTGGGCCCGGGGAGATAGCGTCATATCCATTATCCTTTAATTCCTCTTGAGCAGTTCATCTAGTGCTTCAAAGACACGTGATGGGCCAAGGCCCCTCCAGTGCTTGCTTGGCTTTCATTTACATTTGCTTAAGTCTGGAGCACTTGTAAGTGTTTGAGGTGCTCTGGGTGGTAAGCGGAGCTGACCTGGCTACAACGTATATGTAGGCTTGGGGTTCTGTGTTGCCCAGCCTAGCTTTTGTCATGATCTGGTTAGGACAGAGGGACTGATGGCTCAGGAAGACTGTGGTCTGACTTTTCTAGTGTTTACCACAGGTGGGATCCTGCCCTCCCCAGAAGGAGTTGGAAAAGTTACATGCGTTTAAATCACCCTGGGCATTTTTAGGAAATCACCCTGTTGAGAGGCAACCAGTTTTCAGCTAATCTTCACAGGCACTGTGTCTTTATGTAACTGGGGAAGGATCCAGAAAAGACAGTCTGCTTCTGGTTTTAAAGTCCTTTAATGATGCACGGCAGAGACAAAGAAGATCCCCAAGTCTAGAGAGCCACATGCGGGTCTCCACTGAACATACCTGTGGAACAAAGTAGGTGTCCACAGGCAGGATCCTGAGTCACTCCCAGCTGTGCAGTCCTCCCACTCAGCAGCTGGCCCTAGTCCACTGGTGGTGAACCTATGGCACACATGCTGCAGTCGGCTGTTCATTATCATTGAAAGCTCTAAAAGTTTCACCGTTACTGCCCTATACGCTTTTGTTTTGAATAAGAGCATTTATCAAAACAAGCCAGGAGCCTACCAGGACACTTGGTCCTCATGGGCAGCACCTGTCACCACAGCTTGGTCTTTTCTATCCTCTGTATGACTCATCAACTAGGCGGTTGGAAAGGACAGTGCCAATACATTCCCAGGCATTTTGCCCTCATGCTAGCTCCATTGCATTTGAAAACTACTCTAAGGCTGGGTGTTTTGGTGCATGTCTGTAATCCTAGCACTCAGGAGGTAGAGGCGGAAGGATCACTATGAGTTGGAAGCTAGCCTGGGTTACATAGTGAGTTCAAGGCCAGCCTGAGCTACACAGTGAGACCCTGTCTCAAAACAAAACAAAAAAAAACTAGGTAAGGCATTGGAAGCCACACTTGGTGATGGAAGCTGAACACACCTATTGAGACAACGTGAGAGACCTTAGTAACATGGAGAGCCCCATTGGACAAGTGTGTCCCTGGTTGCACTGGGGTGGACATGATGGCCTAAAGGCTCCTTGTGCAGGTAGGCAGCAGGGTGGCCCCTCTAGCTTCCATGTGCTTTCAGGATAATTGGCACCACAAATTCCTCCAGATAGTCTGTAATCCCGAGGCCGAATGTGTGCTTTCCCACCTCAACATTTCCTAGTAAATATGTGAAAAGTTTGCACAGTGCTTTACAAAAAGCTGAAGCAATACTCCCGTTTTGACCTTGAGAGTCCTCATTGGTCATTTTTCTTCACTTCTGTATTTTAACTTTTTTTGTTGTTCTGAAGATAGGGTCTCATTAGGTTGCTGAGGCTAGGTTCAAACTTGCAGTCCTGTCTCAGCCTCCCAGAGTGCTGGGATTACAGGTGTGCAGCGTTACACTCAGCTCGTTCATATGTGTTAAGTTCTAAAGCCTCTGTTGAACCCATTCTGTTTTGCTTGAGAATTTGCCAGACCATTATTCTGCTCCATTGGGGAATGGCCAGAGCTGCTTGTGGCCAGTTTTATCAGTACAGATATTGGAGTTTATGTCTTAATTACTGTCTTCCCAACACATACATGGGAATATATTAGGAAAAGACTGCTATTTTAAAATTATAAAACAGCTTCTTTTCCAAGGTCTTTAGAGACTAAAGCAGTTAAGACAGATTGCAGTATTATTGTGTGACACCATGGAAGCTTTTTCTCTGTAAAATAAAACCATAGGATGAGAGACACAGAGCCTCAGTTCTGCCTGCATAGCTTATCAGAGCAGCTGCTAAATCAATCCCCAAACTGGTGTCTGGGAGAAAGTCTCTGTGGGCTTGTATCATGGATGTACATTAAACCCCCACCTTCAAGCTGCAGAGCCTAGGCTAAGCCTTTAGCACTGGAGATGGCCTGCCTTGTTCTATAGATTTCAGTAAAAATGGATATTTTTCTCCATCTCCTTGAATTACAGAAGAGGCTTTTGACAGCGTTAAAACTCAGCTCTGTGGAGACAGGGACATTAAGTCGTGAAGCCCTCAGTCCATGTTGCTGTACTTAAGGGACACAGGGTAGCTTAAACTCCATGGTTCTTACGTCATAGGAAAATAAATACCCTGGGGGTCAAACAGTTCATTGCTGAAGAGATGGAGGAGTGACCTGAGGAATGGGGCTAGATACGGGGAGGGGGATAGGACTCCTTCCTGAAGTACCAGGAGAGGAGCAAATCAGGTCTCCTCTGCAGGACATTTTCTCCACAGTGGTCTCAGATGACTGATGAGAGAGCTGTCAGGATCTCTCCCCAGCACCCAACATTCCCTTGACTTGCAAAGCAATTTAAAAAACCACCAACTGCTTAGCTCTTTCCTAGAATTTCTCTGACCTGGCACCAGAGGCACTGGTAAGCAACCTGTTAGCTTGTCATCCTGTTTATTACAAGAACAGTTGAGGAAATCTGGGAGCCCCTTTTAAGTCCCAAGACTTGGTACTGTGTATGTTAAAATGTAGATAATCTCTGTATCATGTGGGAGATGACAAGGAAAAAAATGATGTCTTTTTAGCACTACCCGGTAATTGCTGAGCAGTTTTGAAGAGTGGCAACATGGAGACAGCTTTCTAGTCCTTCATCATATTTATTTAGTGCTTTAGGATTCTCAGAGTATGTCTCTTGGCCCTTATGACAACACAAGAGGTGTCCTGAGAGGTAGGGTGACTTGCCTGGATCTTACAGCACATGAGCTACAGAGGTCTGCAGGTGAACCTTGTGACTTGGCTAAAATGAGCCAACAGCCTCGCTCAGGTCCCCAGCCAGGGCCCCCAGCCTCAGGACCTCGCTCAGGTCCCTAAAATCCAAGGGTAGTCTGCCAGGCACTCACACACACCTCACACCTCTGAGTGCCCACCCATCTGGGAAAGGCACACCTAGGCTTTTGTCTGTGGAGCTCTGTACTTGCACTGTGGGCCCTATGCAGATGGGCAGATGCACTGGGCTTATTACTACCATGCCAGTGAGTGTATACTCAGGTTCTCTGATACTCTCCCACAAACACACCAGAGTATGTTCCTTTTCCACTTCTGCAGACTCAAATTCACTTGAACCAATGATACATTGTTGTCCCTTAAGCAGAGAGAACTCCAGCACTCATTTTTAACTCCTTGACTCATCTGGTCTGTCATGCTTAGTAAACACTCAGTGGAGCAAACACCTGAAAACATGACTCTGAGTGTGATGTGCTTTTGGTGAGCTGTTAGGCAAACTCTACAGCAAAATAGGACATTTGTACCAGGTAGTGTGTAGCTGTGCACAAAGAGAAAGGTGCTGTCTTCAGCATCTTGGCCTAAGAGGACATGCTACCTGGTATGCCCTTTTCTCCCTCCTTGTTTTGAATCTGGCCTTGTGACCACAGTCTGTAGACGTCCTCTCCATTGACCATCGCTCCCGAGACCACATGGGCAGAACTCTTCAGTGGTGGAAAGTGGGAGCCAGTTGGGAGCCCAGAAGAGGAGAGGAGCCCAGGGAACCTGGTCACAGAAAGATCTGGTTCCTTGGAGGCTGCACACCAGCATATGTGCTAGGGAAGGGAGAAGTGTCTTTATCAATGACCTCATGCTGATTTTTAGGGATCCAACGTCTACCATCACTGTTGAGCTGAACATGAGGTGCAAGACCATCTCACAAATTGCTACAGGATGTATAGGCTTTATTTTCTTGTTTTCTCACATTCAGTTTCAAGATCAGCTTTTCAGGGAGTTGAGTGGATCTTCAGGATTTAAGTGAGGGACTCTGTTTTGGTGAGACAGAACCAGAGCTGCCTTTGGAGTTCCCTGTGCGGTATCACAGGGAAGAACTCAGCTGCCTCCCAGCACCTGCCCTCACCTGCCTGCTGGCTTTGCCCTCACCACGGAGGGGTCTCACATCCAGTTCTTGCCAGAGGGCATCACTGTGTTGGCATACCCTATAACAGGCAGCCATCATGTGGGGGCCATCTCAGCCCAGACTCATGAAAGCTCCTGCCAAGAGCTCAGTCTATCACCACTGCCTTCTGGAATGCCCAAGCTCAGGGCAGAAGGTAACAGGAGGGTGGAGTGTTCTGTATACATACGCCACAGATGACCCAGACAAACACTTTAATTTGTTTTTGGAGGCATAATTTAGTCATCTTACCTGAAGCACTTTGCACTCTGGCAATCAATTACAGAAGACGCAGCACCAAAGGGTGAGGGGAACATGTCCCTCCTGTTCCCCAGCCCTGCCCTCCCCTGCAGGCATATACCCTTTGTACTGTCACAGGGCCAGGCTCACACAGCCACACAGCCATTACACACACACACACGTGTGCAACTGAAAAGAAAGAAAACCAACACCCACTAAATCACACGGGAAAAAGATTTAAGAGCATCTTCCTCCCCATCTGATTCTGAGAGCAAACTCCGTGGCTGGAGAGACTGTGACTTCCATGTCCCAGTCTCCATCATTGTGTCCTGCTAGGAAGGCTATGCAGAGGCCACCAGTTTCCCCAAGGCTCCCTTTGGGGTAACATACCCCCAAGTCAGTCACTGTGCTTATGTCTGTTGTCACTGTTGCCATAGGCAGAGCCCTTGTCAATTTCTGTCACGCCGATCATCCATCGAACTCCCATAGAGGCTGCAGAGACAAGGGAGGAGTACAGTTAGGACTCTCAGCAAGATCCTGGGCCATGTGTTCAATGACAGTTGTGCAGAGGCAGCTGGCTGCAAGTCAGGCATTGGCTGAAAGCAAATTTGGGGTGCCATTTCATAGCTCTAGTTCATCGTCTGTCTAAGGTGACACGAGCACAGCAAGGCTGCTCTGCTGGGCTTTTGTTGTTGGCCATTAGCGGATTACAGAATCTGGCAGGCTGGATGCAGCTGTAGGTGCCTCAAGGAAAGCCTTTATTTTCTGTGCCCATTCCCAAGCAAAGAGGACTCTTCTGTAAATCCCCGGTGGGAGTTTACAGGGCACCTGAAGTGAACCTGGATCAAGAACATACCAGGAGCCTGGAAGGGCAAGAGTTCCAGTATCTATCAAGGACCAACCGGATCCCAACATGGGATAAGCATTGGAGCAGGGTGTGAAGTCCCCAACCTCGCTAAATGCCTTTGCTTCAAGGATGTAGACTGTGACAGAGGAGGTACCAGCCCCCAATGAAACACCAGGAAGCTGGAAAATGGAGCTGTTGTGCTTAAGTTGCTGTGGGAGCTATGCCCTCTGGAGCGGGTAGGCTTGGTGAGCTCCTTGGGTGGGACCATGTGTTCCTTATGCTGGGCTCCATGCTGGGGTCTCACAGCCACCATTTATGATAAATGTAATCATGGACAGGTAAGTTGATGAAGTCTCCCAAATCACAATGTTTATGTCACAAAGCATTAGCATTGGGCTCTGTCACTCAGATCACCTGGAACACACTGGGGCAGAAGGCCAGCTTAGTGTAGTGGATGCACAGGACCCAAACATAGGTCGATTAAAGTGAGGAGACTTCTGTCCCAATCCTAGACTTTCCAGGGAAGACCTCATTAGCAATGGAAATATCAAGAATAAAGAGGTGAGTGAAACATGCACCCTTGCTCAAAGGCCATATGAGAAATTACGTGTAAATAAAGCTGTTCTGGTGAAAATCAGGAAGTCTCAGGCTGGAGAGTGATGCAGCATGAGTGTATGGGGCTGGGGGAGACAGCTCAGTCCTTGCAGCACTTAGTACATATCTGGAGCTGGTCTGTCCCCAGCCTCTTCCTCACTGAGGAGCTATGGCTGTCCCTGGGAGTGCAGGGTTTAAATCAACCTTCTGCTTTTGGAAGCAGAGCCTCCGTGTCTCCATCCCACTGGGGCTCTCCCAGCTGCAGCTTCTTGGACCTCTGGCCAGCCTCTACCTGAACTCTTGATGTTGGCGGTGGTGTGTATGCGTGTGTATGTGTGTGTGTGTGTAGCGGGGGCAAGGAGGTCCCAGATCCTGTCTCTGGGAAATGAGGTGTCTTCTCTATAAGAAATGGGTGTTGCTTTAAGTTTTATAACATTAAAGTGTATCTTTTATTTTTTAAAAAAAGACCATAGTGGGGCTTGTTGTAGATGAGAACCAGTTTGCCTTTTGCAACTGTAGAGTCTAGTATTGGTTAGCAGGAGACAGGTTTGTGTCTTGTGATGTGTTTAGATGGTCTTGACTGATGAAGGGGTGAATAAAGTTAAGGAAACTCCACCTACATGGCTTCACCTATGCATAGATGTTTGAGAATGCAACAGTGTATACCAAGCTGTCAGGAATGGTTCTTTCAGGGGACTGGGTCCCTGGGGGCTATGCCCTGAGATAGTTTCCATTTTGTGTATTTTTGTATGGTTTGGGTCTCTTTTGACAATGAGCACAGAGCATCTTTGTTTCTTAGGAGTAACTGCAGAATACAATATAAGGCTGTGCATCCTTGAACTCTGTGCCATACTCCGTCTTGTAAGAATAGACAGATTGCCTACTCTTCAAAACCCCAGGAGAAAACCCAGCCTCGGGGTCAGGGACATTCCGTTCCCATCTCTCTCGCCTTCAGTAAGCACGGAGAAAAAGGAATAGTGACCCAACAACCCTACCTCAGAAAGGAGCAGGGATGTGCACATAGGCTCAGCATGCAGAGGAAACAGCAGTTGTGGGAAATACTGCCAAACAAAGCCGTTGTGGATGATGGAGAGTCACTGAGCATCACCATCAGTCTGCCTGCTCATGAGGGAGAAGGCACTTGGGGGAGGGGCAGTGGAGACCCTGGAGCTCAAGCTAGGTCTTACCCTGGTCTGAGGAGCCAGTCTGTCTGCAGAAAATAAGACAGGACTCTGTCTGGTCTGAAGGGTATAACCACTTCATTGCCATCCGTAAGGAAAATGGAACTGCGGTTTTGGGCAGAAGCTACTTGAGCAGACTGTGAAAGTCTTTCCAGCCCAGGTAACTAGGAGTCCCCTGGGAGTCCACTGGCCTACACAGAGCTTGGTCTTGCCCCTGCCCTGCCCATGCTAGGCACTCTCCCTGTAGCAGGCCGAGCCACTGCCTCACTTTGAGCCTTGTCCTCCACTCACCCATACAGAAGATAACGATGAAGCTGGCCAGAGTCACGGAGGAGCCACTGCTGACCATGCTGACCAGGAACCGGAAGAAGGGGTAGAGCAGCAGCGAGGCCCAGAACAGCCAGTTGAGCAGCGCCCAGGGCCGCCGTGGGGGGACCTTGGGAGTCTCTGGGAAGACTCCTGTCCTATAGTATTCCTCTTGAAAGGCATCCTGGGGGCAAAGGAGGGGACTGTCAAACATGATACTACACTCAATGGCAGGATCCTGTGGAGATCGCACTTTTGAAGAGCTCAGAGACCTATGGGGCCACTGACTCTGGCAGAACCTTGCAGGAAGTACTGTGCAGACAGCCGCCATGTCTTAGTGTGCTTGGCTGTCTCCTCCTATGAGTCCCACAGAGAAGCAGCTACCACTGTGTGCAGGAGGGAGGAGCCTAGGCCATACGTATCTGATTGCAGGTGCCCAGTCTGAGCCAGGCTGTAAAACAGGGTGGTGATGCCTCCCAAACCAGTAGTAGGAGAATGAGATGAAATGCTGCAATGAATCTGGTCCAAGGCCGATGCCCCAGTGAGTGGCCTACCCAGACCCAGCTTAGGACACACACTGCACTGTCATTTAGGTTTTCAACACACAAGTTCCTGGCCATTCCCTGTGGCAAGCCACCATCACCCATCCCTGTCTGCTGCCCCAGAGCTTCTTGGGGACTTGGCCTTCAAGGCTGCACAGGTGATGAAGGACTGTGGGGTTACAGGTGGTTGCACTTAGAAAGTGACAGACCACACTCAGGACTAATCCTTCCAGTGGTGTGTGCCTTTGGAGAGAGATCAGTGAACCCTAAGGTCCTGATGAGAAGGAGGAAACAGGTAGGGACCCCTGTAGAGCTGGAGCACAAATGGGCTCAAAGTGAGCCAAGATCTTGTGATCCTCATAAGGGCTCCATGCTGCTGATATTTTGAGATCAGAGAGGCAACGAACCTTTTGGAACAGAAGCATGTAAGACCATATACATTGCAAAAAAAGAGTTCCCAGGTCAGGAGCATTCTGCCTTAGGGCCACCAGTGGGAAAACAGATTGCTGCTGGACCATTACTTCCTTTTTGGTCCACCACACTCATAAAATAGCTTTATTCTTTCCTTAAAGCTCCTGTAAAAATACATACTGCTATGCACTTTGCCCTATTGCCAAGGATCACCAGTAAATGGATCCATGAAATCACACCAGATAGGAAAGGCTTGTTGCCATGCTCAGTCCCTAGTGGTCACATGGTACATCCACAGCTATGGCACAAAAGGGATGCACTCACCTTTTCCTGATAGAGCTTGTGGAGCCAGGCTGAGCACTGGTCATCATCATCTGGGATGTCTTCCATTGGAATCCTCCTGCAAAGGCAGAGGGTAGCTATTAGGGGAGGCCACACAAAACTACCAGCTGCATGTTCAGTGTTAACAGCAATGGCTATTCTGGGGTTTCAGGTAGGTGCCCTGAATGTTCACATGGGTAAAGTGACTGGGTGGATAGAAGCCACAAAGCGGCTGGCCTGGGCAAGATCAGGCAAGAGCCTGACTCAGTGACACAAAGACAGGGTTGATCCCACGTCTGATTCCACCTCCCACCTCATGGAAAGGGTCCAAAATCTGATGGCTGGAGAAGACTATGATACCTCAGATTCCACATGAGAATACATACTGAATCTATGCTATATGATTGAAAATACAGTAAATATTTAAATTTTAAAATTTATTGCACAAAAGATGATCCTCAAAAATATTTCCCCCTCCCTTCACATACACTTACATTTTTGCCACTTTCTGAAGAAGTGGTCTTGGAAGTCCTTTTTCCTGAGTATCTTTAGTTACATTATATTTTTCTTGATATGCTGAATCAATTGAAAACATTTACCTTTCATGATCATTTTGACTTTGAGGAACTGTCAAGTTGCATGGTGCTAGATGTGGGGAATGAGGTGGACAAGAATACACTAATGTGTTTACAAGCCTACTTTCCCATTTGATGGCACCCAGCAGCAGCATTCACTGATTTTATTTTAATCACACCTCAAAAATACTCAAAAAGGACTTTCAGAACTGCTTCAGAAAGTGGCAAGAAAAATGGGATAAGCATGTTTGAAGCAAGGGGGAGTATCTTGATTGATGGCAATATGTCTTTTATTGTAATAAATATTTTAACTTAAACATTCGCTGTATATTTTTATCACCCCTGGTGTGTAAAGGAGGTACTACCCTACTCATTTTTTTGGCCAAGCCACTACCTGGTAGTGGACAAGTATCTCCCATCAGATGATCTCTCCAGCCTCCTTCCTGGGCAGCACTGAGGCAGACTGCAGCAAAGGTTGGAGCAGCAAAGGATGTGGATGAAACCAGGGTGACTGCCCCAGGATCTTTGGCTCAAATAGAGACCCCTGGGGTGATGCTTTGCCCCCCACGTAACACAGACTGATTCAAAGGTGGTCTCATGGATGGTGCTGTCAGGGCCATGATGCTCTTCCATCTGCAAACAGCCCATCCTGAACACAGGAGGCATGACTTCCATGTGTCCTGGTGTCTGTCTTCCTCTCCTGTCTGTCTCTGTCTCTGTTCTCAGTCTACTGGCTCATGTGATTTCAAGGAATGTTCATTTAGATCTGCGTCTTTTTTCTGATTTCATAATTTTATTGATTATAAGTCAAATGAAATTACATATATTAATGTATACATCATGTTTTAAGGTACATATATGTTGTGGTAGCCAAGCATGGTGATGCACCCCTGTAATTCCAGCACACAGGTGGCTGAAGCAGGAGGATTGCCATGAGTTTGAGGCCAGCCCAGGCTACACAGTGAGTTCAAGGCCAGCCTGAACTACATAGCAAAACCCTGTCTCAAAAAACTAAAAATAAATAAATAAATAAATTGTGAATTGATTACTACAAATTCATTAACATATCCATCACATATTCACATACTCCCAACAATTTTTAATTTTTGCTGCTTAGAAACATTTTATAATAGTACAAATCAAAAAATACTCCTAAGGACCAGGGATGTAGCTCAGTGGCATCGCTGCCTGTGTCGCAGGCGCAAGGTCCTGAGTTTGATCCCTGGTACTGCAAAAATAAATTAATAAATATTTTTAAATACTCCTAAATAGGAAAAATATGCTCAGCATCTCACTCTCAGAAATAGAACAGTTAACACCATTCTAGATTCCTTGATATTCCTATATTAATGAAAAATTTTAAATTATCATTGCCACATGCCCTGTTTTGTACCCCGATGTTTCACTGAACAGAGTGTGTGGATCTTTTCACCTCAATAAACTCAATAGACCAGCTTTTCTCTGTGGAAAAGTCTGTGTCAGTCATTTTCCATGGGTCATTTAACTCCCTCACTGTGCCCAGAAATATCTTATGAAGAAGAGACACTTTTAGAATTTAGCCTCCACACAGTAGCCTTTTGAGAGAATAGATTTGTGGAATTTCATTTTACAACATTATAATGAGATACCATCATTAGATTAATAGCGTCCTTTTGCAGCAGTATTCTAAGTTTTTCATGTAATTAAAACTTACCTCTCAAGCTCCTCTAGAAATAGTTTTTCACTTTTTTTGTCCATATGTGTTTATTTGCATGAATATACTATTTATATCTTTGCTTTTTCTGATCTATCCCTGGTTTGCAAGTCACATACAAAAAAAGTTAGAAGCACCTGCAAACCATTTGAATGGAGGAAAATTAGGTGATTGTGCTCCTTTCTGTAACTTGATAGTATTACCCTTGATGTTTTAATACTTTGTATTGAGGTGAAGTATTTACAGAGGACTGTTTCAACCACCTTATATGGGTGACTGCAAGAAAAGCTGAGTGTGGAGTGGCATAAGTAATCCCCCTCTGAAGCTGAGAGCAAACTAGCTTTGGTGGGTACTTCGCTGTGTACCCATCCCCACAAATGCTCCAGAGTTGCAGTTACTGAAAAAAATTGTCTTGTGTGCACCACCAGGGTATACTGGCTACTGTGTGGGGCTCCTGCCAAGTATGGAACTCAGGGGAGAAAAGCCTGCTTCAGCCCAGGAGAAGGGTTCCTTTTCTCCTGGTCTGCCATACAGTTAAGTAATAAGGCAGTGTGTCAACAGTATTAACGATGGTACACACACAAACACATCTTTGAGGTGGATGTGGAAAAGCTAGAGTCATTTCCAGTAGGAAGCAATTTAAACAAGCTGTCAATCCATTAAAACATCCCTCAGGAAAGTCTACACCTGGTTTGACTTAATGAGCCCATCACCCTTGTCCTTTATTTACTGTGGACAGCATCTTTTAGTTCTCTTTCCCACTAATCTTGGTGACATTCTGGAGACTGTCAGACTCACTGTGTAAATTAATAAACCAGTGAAAAGAATTGGCTTGCCTAATATCTTTGGGAGATGTTTTCAATAGAATTGGGATTAGCCTAGAATATGAGACATAAATGAAGAACACAAAAGTGTTCTCCATTTGCTTCTAGACCCCCTTATAAATTATATATGCTATTATCTGTGTGTCTTTCATAGGGAAGACCCATCTTCTAAGGGGTCAATAAAATAATCACTTTACACTCAATCTCCAAATGACTGATTATAAAACATGATCTCTGATTATAAAAATGGTCTTCCCTTTGTCCAGCATGAGCTCTGTGTCAATGAGTTGGTAAGAGTGGAGTGTTCCCCAGATCATTTCTAAAGATAGGATGTGTTTCGAGTTTGTAATAAGCTCATTGCAAAACACACTGCAAGATGTTACCCAGATATATGTCTGCAGAAGGAGGTCTCCAGGTCATTTCTGATTTATTTACTTACAAATGAGCTCTCTCTTTTTGGAAAGAAAACTTACCTAACATAACAATCAGCATGATATTTCTTTCCATTTAGGACTCCCAGCAGCGTTGGGTTTTCATTATTTCTGAAATTGAGTGTACAGTCATATACAGCTGGAACTATAAAAATAAGACAAACACAAAGCAGTATATAGCTGGTGAACCCAATTCTGTTCTGTAGATACACATATTGGAAGACATAATCACATCACTAGTGGATCATCTATGATGATCAATTATAGATTTCTTCTCTGTGCATTTCTTTATTATTTAGATGTTCTACATTGAACATGTATCAGCTGTTGTAGTCAGAAGACCCCACTATAACCTAGTAATGGGAACCAGAGTAATTACTGAGGTCAGGTCAGTTTTAAAGAAGTATTACAATATTGGATCTAGATATATGACAAAAATGTGTAGCTCTCTAATATGCAGAGCCTATCATCGTCAACAAATGTTGATGTTTAAATAAATATAAATAACATCCAAAGGATATTATGTAAGGATGTGTCGAAGTTACAGAAATAAAACATTCTCTGGGAATTGATTTTCCCTAGAAAAACAAGACAGCTGCAAACCTGGGATAAGATACTGACTGTTAAGTCCTTAAGGAACTGAATTATAGCCCACTGAAACACAGCTGAGACAAGTATCCGTGATTTAAATGGTTCTACTCAACAGTGAGTTAACCTGTCTGTGCTCGAAGTTATGTCAAAAGTCACTGCTGCGGCCCAGGGCCTGGCTCGTACTCAAGAAGTGCTTATTGGGTCAGAGACTGGGAGACTGCACTTCAAACGAGTGAATGGAGCATAGAAATATACAGTGGAAACATGGCTTCTTGCTGGTGTGCAGGGCAGGCACAGGGAGCAGAAAAATCAGGAGTTTTGGAGTTAGGCAGAATGTGGATACAAAGGCTGCCTTTTCCCCAGTGCAGGAGGGACGTTGCTCAGGCAGTCCACTCAGCCCTCCAAGCCTGATCTCCTGAAGAGTGGGTTTCTGGGGCCTTCATCCCGCAGTGGCACTTACTAAAGGCCTCAGCACACTGTGCTCACTTATAACATGGGTCTGGCCTTTCAACGAGAGAGCTTTGTATGATGAAAGTAATAGAGGATGATAGAAAGGGTGGAAAGGCACTTGGTTCAGTTGGGAATATGAAAAACCAAGATTCAGTAATGATACAATCATCAATTTTCTTTAAGTTTCCTGGACCACACGTAGGGCTTTCAGGTCTCTTATCTTTGCCACTGGCAGAAGGTCCCCGCTGCTGGCCTGCAGGAGTGCCTGGGGGCAGGACACCAAGTGCCTGGGGGCAGGACACTCCCTAGCCTTGAGAGGTTGGACTGCCCTCCCTGCAGAGGTGCCAAGGTGGGCAGCATTGCAGATTATAACATCACAGAATACTTTGAGAGCACAAGCTGAGTCCTTGCCTCAGGCCTGGGGAAGTGTGGGGGTTCTTGACCTTTGTTCCATGAAGAAGAGTGAAGGGATGAGGACAAGGCTATGAGCTGGCAGCATGGCACCAGAGACCACGTCTGGGCCAGATTCCGGCCTTGCCCCCTCTCCTCACAGGATGGAGCTTGGCCTGTCCTCAACACACCTGGCATATGAAACCCCAGGAAAGCTGTCTAACCATGGCACTCTCCCAGAGGCTCTATCCAGGCTCAGGGGTTGAAGTTGGAGCCCACTTCAGAGCCCAGGAAACTGGGAGTGGAAGTTTGAGAGCAAGGGTGCATGAGAGGAAGGCTGTTTTAAACTACAAAAAGGAGGCAGAGAACCACGTGACAGGTGGCTAGAGACAAATTGTTGCTGCTGTTTTCTTGTAACCTACAGAGATATAGGGCTTCAAATTCACAGATCAGCGGCCACAAACAAGTCCAGTTCATCATTCGCAGGCAGCTAATGGCAACAGATAGGCAAGAAGTACCCCAAAATTCCAGAGGAGCTCCCTCAATATGCAGCCCTATGGCCAGACTGACCACAAGGGCCCTATGGCCCAGGGGCCTCCAGGGATCCAGTGAATAACACACAGCCCTGCAGTGCCCCTGTTGAGCAGCAGAGGGCAATGTTTGCTGGGGTGCATCAACAAGGTGTCCCGGCAGACATGCACCTGACCCAGTCTTGGGTTCTGGCTGGGTACCAATCTAGCAGCCACCCCTAGCTGCTGGGCAGGAAAACAGAAGAGTCTAAAGATCAGAAGGAGCAGGAAAGCAGAGGCACAGGGACAGTGATCATCCTTACCTACGCCTCTCAAGCACCTCACAGTGATGGCGAAGCCTTTGGTGCGTGGCAGCAGATGGTGCTTGAGGCTGGGCAACCCCTTGGCTTGGGCCACCTGCATGCTGATCTGGTGCTTCTTCTCTGTGAACCGTGTGCCCTCACAGTGGATCAGGAACTAGAAGGCACAGGGTGATAGTCACACAGGGTCCCTCGCGTGACTCAGATCACATACAATCCTGGTCACGGGGTCCCACAGTCACCCACACTTCTGGGCCACATACAACCCCAGGTCGCACACAATTCTGTGTTCACCCATAGTTACAGATGGTCCCACAGGAAGGAGGTGGTAGGGTGTGCCTCTCCAGGGCCCACATACAAGGTACTTCTCTGGGTAATCCCGGAGGTGCAGAAGGCTCTTAGCGACTGTCTGACGATCTTGTTCCCACTTGCGTGTGCAGAAGATCATTTCTGTGAAGTACCACATCCAGCCGATTATTGGGACATAAGCCAGCTCCTTCTTGGCTAGGACTTTGGAATTCTGAAAGAGGAAGTAGCCCAGGTGTTCAAGAAAGAGACAAGAGGGTCACTTCCTGTGTGTTGGTGATCTTAGTGGAAAAGAGTGAATGGTCACACCAAAGGTTGAGGGATCATTCAGAACACAGGTCCTCCCACCATACCAACTGGAGGTCAAGGCTTTGCTCATTGCTCAGCACCAGCAGGTGTCTGCAAAAGTAGCCCCTCCCAGCCAAGGGTACGAGAGGGTCTTAAGGATACTTCCACAGTCCTCAAGGCCCTTCTAGATAATTGTCACCTTTTGTGGTCACTAAGCTCGTCACGCAGGTGTGCAACTCTAATTTGGGCAACTCCATGGGTCTCATCCCTCTCTCAGAAAAGCTTGAAAAACCCCACAGGAAAGGCAGACAGATGCTCATTTGATAGACTGGAAAGTAGAGCCCAGTGGGATTCTCAGGGTCATATGCACTCTCTACCCATCCCTCGCTCGCTCTTCTCTGAGGCCTGAGTAGTGCTTGAGACCTTCCTGGGGCTGGCACAAGGCATGAGCGCCCAGCTCACCCACAGGCTGGACTCGCCAGTGGACTCGCAGCCAGGTCCTGAGCCCTAGGGGCTGCTGGGCGGGCCCCCCACACCAGCTTCTGCCCAGTTGGGAATACCAGGGTTGTAGCTGGGTGGAAGGTGCAGGGGAGCCCCCTAAACAGCTTTTCATCTAGTGGAACTGGCTTCTGTATTTTCACCCTTCACTTTGGAATTGGCCATGGTGCTTCTTGACCAATGGGATAGGTAATTAAGTTGTTGATGTAGGCAACTTGAGCTGTTCTGTGGCAAGTGTCTGGCTATGGCCCTAACCCTAGGACGCCAGGGTGAGAAGAGTCAATGCTTTCACACACCCCTTTCCTCTCCTCCACCCTCACGGCCTTGTGTGATCATTAATCCTATGTGTCAGCTTCATTGGATTAATGCCAATGGATTAGTGGAGCACACTCCTGGGTGTGTCTAGGTGGGTCTGGGATGCCTGAGCTTGGTTCCTATGTCGGGTCCCTTTCCTCTTTCTCCTTGGGACTGTTTCCCTGCTCTGTTTCCTGGCCACCAGGAACTAACAAGCATCCTTGCTCTGCCACGCCCTTCCACCGTGTTCCTCCTGCCTTGGACTCAGCTAACCATAGACTGAGTCTCCTGAAACCATGAATTAAATTGAACCTCTCCTCCTTTAAGCTGTGGGGGTCAGGTGTTGTATATGAGGGAAGCAAAAGCTGGCTAAAGCACAGGGCCTTGTGCCCAGCCTTGGGGAGCCCTCCACTCCCTGCTCCCTTTCTTTTATGGCAACCTCACAGTTGCAACTCAGCAAGGTGACCATAATCCGTGTCCCTTCCCCCACTGTTCAAAGTAGAGAAAAACAGTAAATAGCTACTTTCTTCCTTGTTTGAAAAAACAAAGTTCTTCTCTCAAGGGGAAGAAAGAGCACAAACATCTTTCAGGTTTAGTGACCCCATTTTGGTGGGTTTTGTTTTTGTTTTTGACATAAATCTTACATGCAAATTCTTGGGAGAAGTAGGCATACAAGCTGAAGCCCAGCAGAAGAATCCCAGTGGGGGAGCAAAGTGGCTCCCCTAGGCTGGGCATGAGGCCAACATAATTCTAAACTGACAGGAACAGTACCCTCATTTTACAGATGATCGAACTGAGGCTCAGAAACTTGAAGAACCACATACCGCATGGCTCGCAGCTGGAGAAGCTGAAAACTTTAACCAGTTATCTGTCTGAGGCACTGCAATAGTGACCCTGGAGTCTTTGAGCAGGCAAATTAGACGAAATAAATTTTTCACTGGTGAACTAGCTTATTTTCCTGGTTTGAAAATATTTTGTAAAACTATGTAGACTTGTATTCATTCCAAAAATCACTTGTGGTGCTCTGGAGTTAAAAGACCATTTGGGGAAGGGGGTGTCACACTCTCCAAAGTGACAGCCCCTGGGCTGAGCAGGAGTCTGCTCTCATATAGCTGGTCGCAGCTGTCTGAGGGAACAAGCACCCATAAGTATGCTTCCTGTGTATTTCTTAGTTGTGTTTCTGCCCCACAAAACTAAGCAGGTCTTAAGGATTGGCCTCTGATGACCACTGAGGAAGAGAAAGGGCAGTTCTAACTGTGGTGTGGATTCTTGGTATAGAAACCAAAGGAAGTGACTGAGTCTGTATTGCTACACCTGCGCTACACTGCCTGGTGTAAGTGCAGTTTCACCGGCATGTGGCCACTGTCATGCACTTCTGTGACTCCACCTAGGGACTGAATGGTTCTGATGGAGACGATGTTGCCACAAAACCCAAAGTATTTGTTTTTCTGGCCTATTACAGATAAAGTTTATCAACTCTTAATTTACAGCCATTAAAATACTTAATGGCTTAGGAAATGCTTATCGTATTCAGATCTGGAGCCAAAGCTGAGTCTATAGCATAAATATGACTATATGAAAAGAAAAACAGTAAAGCAGAGAAAAATAATAGCAATTGTTCTTGGGTGGTCAGGTTATAAGAGCTTTTTATCATATTAGAAAAGCTGCCTTTTATTAGAAAAGTAATTAAGTGATTAATATCAGCAAGTTTTCATCATTTGCCTTGGGAACATGAGTGAACTTCTGGATCAAAAATGGTCTCCCTATCTCTGATGATGAAAAGAAACAGGAGAAATTGTTTTATATTGAAGTTCATCTTTCAGTCTTTAAATTCTGGACATTCTAGCTTTCAAACGGTCATTCAGGAAGGTTCATTAGTTGGGCCACCATTTGAACCATCATTTGGGTTCACCCATGGCCATTTGTTTCTACTAAATACATAAAATGAGGCATTTTAAGTGGAACTTTGAAATCAGGTACAATATTTTTTAAAAATTAGCAGGCTAAAATGTCCATACTTACCCTTTAGTGTTTTTCCTAACTACAAGCTGGAGGCAAGTGGCAAATGTTTAGGTCTGATGGACACTGGCCTCACTGTGAGGCCTGACCACTACAGGGGATCAGCAGGTCAGCCGGCAGCCCAGCCTCTGTTTCTACTTTCAGCTCGAGATCCTTAGCCTCAGACTGCCCTGTCTGTACAAAGTTATTAGGCTAGGCACCACGCAGCCACTGGGACCCCAGGTGGACAGGGTGATCCATGCCCTGAGGTGCTTGGAGTCTAATGGACCAAGAAAGCAAAAGCTGAAGATTTCTGTTACTCACTGCCCCTACCCCTGGGGAACTGATCTTGAGGGGACGCTCTGTCCTGCAAGCGAGATGCACACAGATATAAGAAGACCTGGAGGAGCTAGCAGTGGTGGCGAACCTTTGGCATGTTTGCCGCAGTGGGCTGTTTGTGTCATTGAAGGCTCTAAAAGGTTCGCCATTGCTGAAGAGTGTCTCTGAAGTCTTAAGGGCCTAGTCAGAGCAAAACGCAGCAGATGATAGTGGAGCTCAAGATAATGAACCAGGTGTGCACGTGCCTGTGTGTGTGTGTGTGTACCTATGTGCATCAAAAGGTGAGGCTCCTTTTGGAGGAGCTAGGGCAGCTGAATGTGGCCCAGCCTTGCTTACAACACATTCTCTCCTCAGACTCTCTGTCCTCTGATGCTCAGAGGAAAATGCTGTGGACTGTGTGCTACCAGAAAAGATCTCAAGAAAGCCCCCAAATAAAATGAACTCGGTTCCACAATCAGTCACAGTCACAGGGGAAATGCACAAACCAAACATAAAACAGAAGTACTCTCTAAGAATTCATCTCTCTGGGGCTGAAAGTAACCACATACCATTTATCAAAGTCTGGTCAAATGCAGAGCTCTGTGGCTCTGACATCTTCCCAAGCAGCCGACTCCATTCCCTCACCAAGCCTCACTCCATCCTTCATCGGGCTGGTAAACAGATGTGCAGAGGGGAAACGAGGAACTTTTGGGGACCCACAAGGAGGCTGAGGCCAGCAGGATATTTATCACCCTGACTCTGCTGTGGAGATGTGGAAATCAGAACGAGAGAGGCAGCGAGGAGCTCCCTCACACTCCCACACCCATCTTTCTGAATGGCTGGCCCAGGTCCTTCCTGGAGAGGCCCCAGCCCTGAGCCGACGGGAGCACAGGCAGAAGGCTACAGGGTGGGTAGGGAATAAAGCTTCCCAAGGGCAAAAATAACCAGAGCTGTTGCACTGTCCATGGGCCAAAAAGACTACAGGGATTTGCTGAAGTTGCAGGAGCTCAGGGGAGGGACTGCTCGTTCCCTGCAGAGTTCTCCCAGGGCAGAGGACATGGCAGGAGCAGTCCGCTGAGGGCCAGGAAGTGCCCCCAACCCTCGGGCTGGTATTGCTTCAAGCCAGCCTGGTCAGGGAGGAATGACTATGACTTGCTGAAGACACTGCCCTCAGTTTCTGTGCAATGAAGGAGATCCTGACAAGAGGAAACACTGCTACATCTAACTCCATCTCCAGGCCTGTGCTCACCATAAGCCCAGTGTGCTGCTGTACTTCTCCTTGGCCAGGGATTCCTGGGTGACCTTGTCAGTCACCATTCTCTCAGATTCCTTATCTTTGCCATCCTGGATCCTAGAACACCTGGCCCAAAGAGTGAGCAGTTAGGGCAAAAAGTAGGATTCTTGTTCAGTCCCACTGTCACCAAGGGCTTGTGGAGATCTGCACTCAAAAGAGCTGATTAACTCTGCCTGGATGTTGCAGTGCTTTGTGCTGTGTGAAGATGGTGAGGATTTCAGCTGCTTGGGGGTGCAGTGCAGAACTGCTGGACTGTGCCCAGGGAGCACAATAGGTTCTTCCTTTCTTCCTTGACTGCATCCTGCTTCTCATAACAAGAAAGGAGGTGTTGAGGCCAAGAGGACACCCACTTTGTGCGCCCACTTTGTGCTAGGCCCTTGAACCTAGGCATTTCTCTTATATTATTCCACCAAAGCATTATGACTCCATGAAATGGGAATTGTTAACTGAGGCTCAGCAAAGTCAGAAAACCTCCCCATGGTCAGACAGTTGGTAAATGCAGGAGCCCAGTCAAACCGCTGTTT